CATGCAGCCACCTTGGCTGATGGCTTCATTGCCAAGTCGATGGCATTCGAGAACCCGCCGGGCCTGAAGGACATCAAGCAGTTGCACTGAGGGTGATGGGCGATCGCTCAGCGTTCTTCGACTGTGCCATCACGGTTACCAAGACACACCTTGTACGTTGTACGCCCACGCCAAACGTCAATTCTACCGCAATTGTGAGATCTCCGGCACAGTGGACTTCATCTTCGGATACGGCAGCACCTTGATCCAAAACTCCAGGATCATTGTCAGGAAGCCCATGGATAACCAGCAAAACATCGTCGTCGCCGACGGCACTGCACAAAAGCAAATGCGCACCGGAATTGTCCTCCAGAACTGCCAGATCATGGCCGACGCCAGCCTCACCCCCGACAGTTGACAGTGAAGTCATACCTGGCCAGACCATGGAAGGCATACTCCAGGGCTATCTTCATGGAAAGTGAAATCGGCGACCTCATCAACGCCGACGGGTTTCTTCCATGGATGGGCAACTTGTTCCTGGACACCTGCTTCTTCGCCGAGTACGCGAACACGGTTCCTGGTGCCGCCACAAACAGCAGGGTCAAGTGGAGCCACGGCGTCCTCTCCAAGGCTGATGCTACTCAATACACCGCCGAACCTTGGCTTCAGGCGGGCGCCTGGTTGCCCACCACCGGCATTGCCTTCGACAGTGGTCTCACCAAAGCTTAACTCATTCGTTTCCCCCACATCCCCCACATCATCGACCAATTCATTTTCATCATTATTTCTGCAGGAGGTTTTACCACCAATTCATTGCACTGTTGTTACTATTGCTATAATATTCTGCTCTCCTGCATTTGCAATGGAGAGATGAGTTCAATAATATATTATTATCCTACCTTTTCTTTTTTTTTTTTTCTCATCCAGATGTTATCGAGATCCATTTTCAAATGTGAATACAAACTATTGGGAGGCCCAAGGCTTTCACCCACTTCTTCCTCCTAAATCCAAACCAACAATTTGTCCAAAAGCAAAATCCAAAACCAATAGAGTCAGCGGCCGCATCAATTTCATCCTATTTTATTTATAAAAGCTATTAACTATTTATTAAGGAACTTTTGCACAAATGACTTATATTATAAGACCAAGTAAAAAAATAACTTACTTTTTTAAAAATTTTAAAAATAGCCTTTTTAATGTTTAGATTATAATTAATTTACAAAATTACCTTTTTTTTTAATATTGCTTTTTTGAAATGTCAAAGATTCAAAATGCAAGAAATCTATGGAACAAGAGAGACAGATATGAAAAGAAAAATAAACTCGACATGAGAGAGACAAAAGCGACATGACAGAGCAGTGTGAGTGAGCCACAGTCACAATGACAGAGACAAATGCGAGGTGAAATAGATCGACAGTATTCAACAAAACAGAGCACACCGATAGGAAACGAAGCTACATATCATAATTTTTTTATTTTATAAGTTTAGGTATTTGATTCTTTATGATAAGTTAAAAGTTCAAAATTTTTTGTAAACCATGTTTAATCTGCTTTTGGCAAATGATTATGTGTTTTTTCATATTACTGATTTGCAATATTACATTATTGACATACAACTGTATATCAATTATAAATAAATTTATATCTATTGTCTAATTATATTGATCTACGATAGTATATCGCTGATATATAGTATATCACTTATATGCTATCGCAGATCAACTATCAATGAAAACTTATCGATTTTTTTATCATTGATATACAGTATCAATTAAGTAGTATTGCATATCAGTAATAGAGTTTCCTCTTCAATATCTAATATACTCTTCATAATACATGAGAAAAATAGAGAGTAAGAGAGAGGAAAAGCTCTGCAATGAGGATGGTAACCCAAGCAAATCAGATCAAAATTCTAATAAAGAAAAGCATTATACGAGAAATGAATATAATGATTCAGGAAAATCAAATGAAAAAATTTATTAAAAATATATTCAGGATAATAAATCAAAAAAGGAGCTAGCAATCACAATACAATTTTTTATAATAAAATGAAAGATCCAGTTAATTAAAATTAGTTAAATCATATATATTAATATTTTATAATAAATTTATTTTGAGGATAAAAAAAAAAAAAACATATAATTGATTTTATGAATGGGTCATATTTTAAAATATTCAAAAAATCTCATATATAATTTATAAGAGTTGTATTTTTTGAGACCATTGAGCTAATCTTCAAAAAATCTAAACATTGTCAGTAATGAAATTTTTTTAATAAAGATTTTTCCTAATTATTTTTCTGGCCACCCTTCTTCCTATCATTCAACATAAAAGTAAACAAAACTCCTGTTACACACACACACACCACACACCAAAATTCCACTCGATGCCGGCTCAAATGTTCCATCGCCCTCTACATCGATTGGTATAATTGAAAGCAAAACATTATTCATAATAATAAAAACAACGCTGTGCAAGAATGGATGATGAGTAGTTTATTTTGTCGATTTTCTCATCAACAGTTTCCTGTTTCGGCGCAAAATGATATACTCTCATTACAAAGTGACGTTTGCGTTAATAATTTTCCCTGTTGAGGTGTAGACTTTAGGGCACGAATGAGACAGATGAATAAACATTTCCCAATTGTACACACATTTCAAATCATGAGACGCATTGAAGAGAGGTCCTCTGAGTGCCAGGACCCTCACAAGTCATACACGGTGGCAGTGAATGCGAAGGTATCAATATCATCGGGGCATCTCAAACGGGACATGGATGACTGTAGCAAGGTTTTGAGAGGATGGAGTTTGGGAGGAGAACAAATTGTTTAGAGTTGGCATTGGCGGTGGTAGACAACCAATACCCAGATCGTTGGGAGGTGATCGCGGCCATGATCGGAGGAAATAAGAATGCAGGGGACGTTCAGGAGCACTACGAGACCCTTCTGGAGGATTTGCATCTCATAGAATCAGGAAAGCTCGATCACAAGCTTCCACAGACTCAACCCTGTCTTCTGCTCGAATTTACCCACTCCTTGTGCTTGTCTGATTAAAGACATATATGCAACCATGTCAATCTGTGGTTTTCCCCCTTTTCCTTCTGCTCTTTCTTTGCCACGCATGCATGGTTTTAACTTCAACTGATGTGCTTTTCTCGATTTCTGTTTCACGTTAGCCTTCAGGACTGAGGCATCACTGGTTCTTACTGTAACCCATGTATTCGCTTCACATGTATCAGACCATTCTTAAAACTTGATCGCCCAGCGTCCCTAGCGAAAGAAAATGAAATAAAATGATAATAATATAATCTCTCTCGTTCAATGCAACTAATTCAAGCCAAAAGTGCGTAAAAGCTTAAAGAAAAAATATGCCTGGTTTCAGCCGAGCGCCTTAATTCAGAAAGAGGAGAGATAATGGAATCCGGTGGGGTCGTGGCTCGTAAGTTCACTCCCCATAATCCTCTGTTTCGAAACGGCTAATATATTCTGCACTGAATCATCTGTTGGATATACCCTCAGCTGTCAAAAAGTGAAAGATCTCGACCTATTTTGTTGTTTTTTTATGGAATGTGTATAATTAATTAATTATATCAGATGCAAATCATCAGGTGCAGGCATGCTTAAGCAACGGGCTGCATCACGATCACGGCAATGTCAGATGTAGCTGCAAAAAATTCAGCAGATAGAATATTGAGGGCACATGGAAAAATATTGTACTGGATTAACTCCAAGAAGATGCATTTTCCAGTTTAAGGGAAACAAATTTGAATTGATTTTGACAGATGCAGCAGGATTGATTCCAAAATCCAAGGCCAAAACAGAAATGGAAAACGGCGGCAAGGGACCGAACCCATGAATTGAAGGTTTGAAAAGGAAGAAGCAGGATTGAAAAATGAGAAGAGGAGACAAGGAAAGAGGCAGAGCCAGGGAAGAGGCAGTGCATGAGTGAGGCCACAACAGATTTCTTGTCTCTCACTTCGTCAGTTGCTTGGCGTTTGTGTGTTCTGTTGATAGCTCCATCCATGCTCTGCCTTTTCCCAGCCTTGTCCTGTCTCAGAACTCCTCCTCGGGATTACCTCCCCTTACCTCGTCCACAAAAATATAAGCAGCTTCTGTGCAGTACAAAACTTTCCCACCCAATAGCCCACTCCTTAACTTCTATAAAAAACCTTGCTGTTTAATTTAAGCGCCCATGCGCTCGAGTGCGTTTATGATGTAATCCGACTCTATATGTAATATAGCAGTAGCATGAGGTGATTGGGTTGTATGTAGTACATTCGTGTACTGTCGTGCTCCAGTTCAACGCTTGCCCGTACTACTTACTTTTCCAAGTACTACATTGCATATATGCCTAAGATGTGAGGCCAAACTGTACTGCTTTTTAGCCCGGTAGTACTTAAAACTTCTCTCTGCTATTGCTATAGTACTTACTTATATTGAGCTTTGCTTTTGCTTACTAGATGCCAGCTTAAATTCCTGCACCGTCAGCCTTGGAGTATAATTAAAATGAATTAGATATCTGTATATATACTTGTCTTTTGATCCAAATTCCCATATCTACCCTGCTCGGAATGGGTAAAATTAACCAAGGTCGTCAGAATTTTTTACTTTATATGGCACATGCATATTTTTCACTTATATGACCTACTAAAAATTTATCTTGAATTATTAGTGCGCTGGCAATCAAAGTTTATAGCTCTGCAGTGAGTATATTCAACTACGAGCATTATTTATAATCAAAGTTTTCTAGTTTTATGTATTGGGATTAGCTTTTCCGCTAAATGTAAGTCAGACTCATGAACTGGCTCTGCTTTCATCAACAAACCAACGTTCAGATCCCACGAAGCATGTTGTCTAGTGTCAACGCGAATAGCATCAAGAAAATGTGAAGGGCTTTTTTTCTCCCCAAAAAGAAGACGACTTATATATATATATATTATATATATGTTGTTAGGTGTGAGTGGATCCACCACCGAAGAATTTGAAGCCAGAGGGACACCAACAGCAGAAAAGGAGTGATGAGCTATCCTGAGGGAAGCGGAGTGTGGTGGATAGCCCGCCAACTTGGGCTTCAGAGTCCTTTCGTGCCCAACCCATGTTCAGCCCTAGGTTCACGAAGCAACTCAGCTCTCTCTTGTGCCTGGGCCCTGGGGATTGCCATCAGGATTGCAGACTTGGGAATCTTTGCTCATAATTTATTTGCCGCCTCGTCATTCTCCGCTAGCAGTCAATAATTGGCGCGTCTAACAGGGATATCAGACAATGAAACCTTCCATCATTCTGGCCACGATCAAATGGGCAACGCTGAAGCTGAACACACAACACAAGCCCACCAGAGCGCCGCGCAATGAGCCGATGATACGTTTTAAACATTAACAAGCTCCAAGAGGCCGAGATTTTCTACAAGATATATCAGCTTAATGATAGATTAACGAGTTTTTCCTATTCATTGAGATATTCACATTCACAATAAGATTCAAATCTACGTTTTTATAGGATACGAGGTTAATCCTCACTGATTATATCAATTTTGATCACGAGTTCTTACTTTTACCAAAATTTTGAGTTCTTTTTTAAATTGATGAGCTGCATAAACCAAAAAAAAAAGTTACATTATTTATATTTATATCTTGAAAATAATATAGCGCTAATTTCTTCTCAATCTCCTTTAAAAAGGTTGTCGTAGTAGCAGTCCCAATAACACTAAAGTATAAAACTATGTGTAATTAGAGTTGTTAATTAGGACTAACTCGGCTCTAAAAGGCCAAGGTCTAAATAAATTAGTTCTAATAAGTTCGATTATGCTTTAAGATTTCTTTTATAAAGCCTGGCCTTAGCTCTTAGGGCTGAAAGGTCAACCCTCAAGGCCTCGGTCCTTTTTTTTTAACTTTTTTTAATTTAAAATTCTAAAAAATATTTATAATCTTAAAAAAATTTATTATATATACAATTAAATTTAAGAAAATAATTTAAATTAATTTACACCATGATAAATAAAAAACTTCAACATTCATGTCTAATATTAAAATAACAATATCAAAATTAATATCAATAAAAATTAAACTTGGCTAACATTATTAACTAATTTTAATGAATGAATGAAGGAGGGATGAACGAGTCTAGTGTGTTTATTTCTTTTAGTTATATATTCAATCTTATGTTTTTAAAATTATAATTTTTTAAAAAAATAAAAGGATCAGTCTTTTTATTTTCGAACTTAAAAGGATCAATCTTTTTAAGTTTGAATTATCATTTTTTCTTTTAAAATAGAGACTTAATCTTAATTATTTGCAAGTTTAAAAGAACCAACTTGATAGATTCGACCTTAATTGACAACTTTTAAGTGTAATTAGTCCATTTTTTTTGGAGGGTTGGGGTGGGTGAAAGTACTGGTCAAATAACTTCCTGAGAAGCGCTCTACTCACCTTATAATCCCTGCCTTGACAGTATAAATAAATGGAAGTAAAGGAATAGTGAATGCATTGTAAAGGATAGAACCAGGACGACCGTTCCTCGGACACCATCACATTGTTGAACGACGTGATGGTCTTCGTGTTGTGTGTATGCAGCTGGCTATCCATTACCCTCTCAACTTAGCTGGAGAATCGGAATCTTTCCGTGTTAGTTGAGATCTATGGGACCTTTCAAATTTCAATCCTGTGCGTTTATTCGGACTGACCTCAGTGACCTGCAGTATTAAATTTAAAATAAGAGAGAGAGCGTCTAAGAATGACATCATTTCGGAATTTTAACTGATTCCACTGATGAGCATTTTTATTTTCATCCAACCGTTTATCTTGTTATTGATTTTTTTTTTTTTATTGAACAAGCAGCTAGGGCATAATAACTCCTGCATTTTTCATTTTCAGTGTGAAAAATGATAGAAGATAACTTATATATTTAATGTATTTATTTTTAATAAATTATAATAAGTGAATATGAAAACCTTTTATAAATTATTCATTCTATAATAAATACTTGTTATTAATTTAATTAATATATTAATATTCACTTATTATAAGTTAATTAAATATAAATATATTAAGTATATCAAGTCGAACATAAATCTTACTTAATCAAAATGATGAATGAGGATAGCATTCAGAATATGAAAAAAGGAACGAGGCAGCACTTCAGCACGTTCCATAGCTATTTATCAATCTGTATTGTAGTATTGTACTCTTATGTACAGCAGTGCAAGTCGTGAGCAACTCATTGCTCTACCAGGTGGGCTGATCATCCTGGGCTTTGAAAGAAGGCCTGATCATCCATTTCCTATTAACAACACGACATTGTCTCCATTGCTGTTGGGCTGCCAGATCACCGTTATCGTTGACTTCTTGTTTTTGGGCGCCGGGGATGTAAACTAGGGGATCTGGACAGGGTATCATCTAGAAGACTAATCCAAGGTCCCTCTTTGAACTAAATTGAACTTTGTATATTGTGCTGAATTCCATTTGGCTTGGGCATATTGAGTTGGGCCACCCTGACAGTGATTCTTGATTTTGAAAAATGGAAGTATCACTCTCATGAGCACGAGTCTCAAATTGCATGAAAAGATGGGGAGCCTGGGTGGGGAGTAGTTGACTTTCCAGTGTCGGCCTTTTGACTTTTTCATTAACAACCACCCGCAATGATTTCGTGCACTTAAAAGTTAAATTTTAAATTTTAAAGACACGCACCCTATCCTATGTCAATTGCTGAGCGCCTGAGGCCTCTGTTTGCACACCCATAGGCCATAGCATGCCATTAGTGTGTAAACAAAGAGTAAGAGAGATATTGAGTCCTGACCGTTGAATTAGTTGTTCTCCCTCCGAACAAAACAAGTGCGCCACTTTCATTGTTTGTGTCCACGAAACACCAACACAGCATTATAATTAATTCACAATTTACATACCTCGATTCAGATAATAATAATATTGTCACCATTTTGAATTAATTCTGGCATATAGTATATCCTATGTAAACTTAGTAAATGTTTAATTCAACTATCCTTCCATCAATTGGCTGCTTCGAAACAAGCACTTTGACTTTATTTCATTAACAACTAACAAGCACTGAAATAATACAA